ATACTGCTAGAACAGCAGCTCAGCACAATTATTCTTATCTGACCTTAGAAATAAAAACATTCTTGAATACTGGCTTGTTTTTAATGTTTTTTTCAATTCCCTTTCATTTTATTAGTGAATCTGCAAGGCTATTTCAATTTATTAAGTAAGAGTTTGTTCCATCTATAAGAATATATAATTAAAAAGAGAACTGTGTGGATATTCTTATGGGGTGAGACAACAGTAATTGGGAAAAACTGAGATTTCCTCTTTAGGTAGGGTCATCTTTCTCCAGGGTGGTGCTGAAGCTGAAACAACCATGTTTTCTGTGTTATCCACTCAGATGCCATCACCTTCTCTTGCCCCATTCATGGTATTGATGAGCATTCCTGAAAACTTCACAGAAGTTTGTTGGCATGTTGGAAAGGGCTCGAGAAGAGCTACCAAAATGATCTGATGGTAATAAAAGTGCTGTTTTCTAGCAAGAGAATAAAAGATCTCAGTTTGCTTTATCAACCAGGTGCTGATATGGAGTTTGGGGAATTGCTGGCAGAAGGTGAAGATTCCTGATACAAGAGGGCATGAGATCATCCATTGGTCTGAATCAGCAAAAATCAAACTAGAAATGAAATTTGCAGAGCAGGAGCAGTTTGCCAAGGGAAGCAGTGAATTCTTCATTGTATTCCATCAAGACCTGATGGCTCTTGAGATATGCTCGAGTTCCAAAATGAGCTGCCTCTCCATATTTGGGGTTTGCTGATGAAATCTGTGGCTTGATTTAGCAAGATTTTAGACTGTAGGCCCCCATCTAATCCTAAAATCTGCAAGACTCTTGAGATTTTTTTTTGTTCAGTGGGTTTATTGGATGACTAATGTCTCCAAGTCAGAAGAGGACAGAAGTGAGCCTGTGGTGCAACTGTCATGGAAAAGAGTGCTGTGGCTCCTCTGAGCTGTGAATGACGTGCTGTCCCCTTAATAATAAGTATTTTCTTGTTTCTCGTACAACCAGCTTCTGTTTTGCTGTAGGTGGATGTGCCTGCTGCTTTCCTCCTCCTCCTCCTTGCATGTCCAGGGCAATACCTGGATGCATAGACACTAACTAGTCAGGTCTGCACCCAAATTCACACAAATAACAGTTTCCATGGCCCTCTCCAAACACGACTGGGGTATAAATGTGAGGCCATCTCCCTGAGTCACTGCAGATACTGCATATTATAATTACCATTCATTTTCTTTATGTTATACAATTTTACAAACTGCAGGAAATAACCTAAAATCACACCTGTGGGTGCCCAGACTTGCTAAAACAGTTTGTGCTTTAAATCCCAACTGGTTTTACAGTTTCAGTGAGAATTGCAGGCAAGAAACCTTCGTTTCTCAGGTGTCTCGCTGCTGGTAACTGGTGAAGAAGCCCATTTCAGCTCTTTGAAAAAAAGATTTGCCTAATTTTTTAAACTTAAAGAAAAGTTAGACAAAACTTAATGAAAACTGAGTGTAGGGATTCAAATTAACCCAAAAAGAGAGGAGCTCTTCTGCCTTTTGTACCCTTCCTGTGACCCTCCCTTTTTTCTTAAGCCAAGTCCCTATGAAATGGGATGAATTGGTTTGCTCTCAATTATTGTTAATTAATGTTAATTATTTGTATAAAATGGAGAGGGAGAGAAGGACAGCATCTCAACCCAGAGTACCGGCTTTCCTTGAGGGGAAAAAAAAGGACAAGAAACTCCATGTAGCAGGATCTTACACAAATCTATATGAGCATCTCTTGTCGATGCCTCTTGCCACCTTGCATTGGAGCCTGGAACTTGCACTGCTTTGGGCTGAAGCCAGCCCGCTGTTGGATACACTGTAGTCATTAATGAACTTCTTAGGACAAAAAGTTAATTCTTCAATCTCACATTATATGCTTTTTCTCATTTCTTTTATGAGAAAAAATGTCTTTATAGAGAGCTGATGTATTCATGTTCTTATTCTTCAGAAATCTGTGAACTCTGTAGCGCATTATCACTTGAATAGGCCAAATAATTATTTGAATGCCTACTCATAGACAGTTAGCTTGCAGTGAGATTGAGGCTTCAAGAAGAATTACAGAGAACTACCCACTGCATTGAAAGCTAAAAATAGGTATTTCGCTCTGCTTCTAAAAACAGTTGAGGTTTTTTAGGTGAGCCTTAACTTACTGTGTGAAATTTAAAGTATTATGATTAATTTAGAACAATATTTCCTAATTTTGATATTAGAATTTTTATTGTAGAGAAAGCTGACGTTTGGTGGATCTGTGAAGGCACTGTGAGAATGGGACCTGTTGGGTTCACTCCTGTGCTGTCATGGATTGTTGGTTGCGTTGTCCATCACTTGTGTCCTTGGGGACTGGTGTCCACCCTGCTCTGGTGCAGCCTCCCACAGCAGCAAAGCTTGAATGGCATGAATGGAGCAAAGTGAATCACTTTTCCTAGTTTTTCCCATTTTCTTCAGATTAAAAAGTAACAGCTCAAGCCACAAAGGAGAATGTGGAAGCATTTTTGTTATAGCAAAGATAAAAAGTGATACTTTAAAAAATGTGTTTCGGAATGAATCGGTTTGGTAAAAAGCAATGACTGTGCAAAAAGCTTTGAAATGTAGAGAAATAAAATGGAGCTTGGCTTCCAAGTGGCTTTTTCAAGCCACAACTACAAATAAAAGCTGCGAATACAAAGACTTTTGAAATTCTGATGTTTGTGAGGTGGGCAACGTGAAGATTTGTGTTTAGCGCGGTCTGGAGAGTTTTCATTGCTTTTGTGATCAAACAGTGTTCTGGAAGGTAGTGACAGTCTGAAATTTAGAAACCATCTGTTAGAGAAAGATGGAAGAAAATGCAAGATCAGCAACTAACTGCTAAAGAAAAGGATAAAATGTGCCCATACTGAATGAACTTGTTGCCCACTCTAGGACCACGGGGCCCTTCTGGTAGCACAGGGGTTGTGCAGGGACAAGTGCTGAAACACAGCTGGCAACTTTCTGTAAGTTGTGTATTTTGAATCAAGTGGCTCACTTTAAAAAGAATGTCTGACTACACAAAAAAAATTGACCACAGTTCTTTCCTACTGCTCCTTTTTCATTCATCTTGACTTTATAATGATTTTGAAGTATCAGCAGGTTTAGAGTTGAAAATGATAGTCTGACTCGTAAAAATTCTGGACACTGGGAATTATGAAAATGTTGCACGTGCTAAATTGATTTTCAGTTTCTGGATTACAAATAAGAATTACAGCAGACGAGAAGCTTCCGACGGTTGGAAGTGGCAGCAGTTCAAGCCAGTCGTGCAGGTTTGCAGCAACTGGAGATCCAGCCCAGCTATTTTTAATACCCTTGCATTAAAAATGGCCTGTCCCAATTTGCCTTTACAGTATCCTAGGAGTAAGGCTCTGTTTTTTCAAACCGTATTTGTCTTGAGTGTATTTTTACGACGCAGTCATAAACACCAAAAAGCCAAGAATTGTAATGAAAACACCACCAGACAGACTGCCCCCCTTAGGGGATGCCCTGCAACAAATCGATTCGACAGCGCCCGACCAGAATTGAACTAACCAGGATTTTGCGGAGACAATAAGTGCATTATATGTTCCCTTTCAACTGCTTTTAAAGTCACTTCAGCTAAAGGAGGAGACTGTTTTGAGCTCTGCAAAGACTCAGACTCACTCTTTTGCAAAAAGAAAAAAAAAAAAAAAGAGTTGGAAAAATCCATCTGCTGCGGACTATCTGCAGGAATGATGTGCTCAACTTCCTGCTGCAAAGAGCAGCTTCAGACATGGTTGTGGCTCCCACCTCTGTGTCCCTCGGCCACTAGCCACCTCGCTTGACATGTGTGTGTGTCTCTGCTGCACTTCCATGGACTTACATGCAGTCTGTGCCTCCGTGTGTGTGGTCCTTCCTGTTTGCGTGTCTGGCCATGTGTGGCCTCTCTCTGTGCTTTTCTGACGTCCTCCACCCTGCAGAGGGGATGGGGGCTCCTATAGGTGGTGCCCATAGTTATTTGGCGATGGCATTAGCTCATTCAAGTGGTATTGCTCTAGCAAGGGGAGGCTGCAGAGACAACCACAGATGGTGTTAAGGATAGGATGGTCTTCAGTTCAACTGGGCAAACCTGCTTCTGTGCTCCCTTGCCCCGGACAAGGTGGATGCCCACACTGCTTCAAGGACCAGTGTGGGGATGCAGGCAACAAGTCTGTGTGGAGGCTAGCAGAAGGAGAGTGGCTGAGCTGCCTTCAGGACAGGAGTCTTGAGGAACGTAAGCTGTGGGGACATAGGCACTGTCACCGGAGATGTGTTGAGCTAAGACTGTGCCCCAAAAGTAGAAGCAGGCTGCCACTCACGGGATGCTGTCTTCAGCAGCTGCTATGGGATGGTCCCTAGACCTGCCATGAGTTGCCCCCCTGACTACTTGTGGACTGTCCCTGACATGCTGTTGAATGTCCCACTTACCTACTATGGGATGTCCACTTGACCCACTGTAAATTGAAGTCCACAAACTGCATTGAGATGAACCCTAGATCTGCAATGAGGTGTCTCTGACATGCTATGGGATGTATCCCCAGGCCGGCTGTGAGATGTTCCTGACCTTCTGTGAGATGTCCCTCAGATCCATTGCGGCATGTCCTCCAGACCTACTGTAGGATGTCCCCAAATCCTCTATGGGATGTCCCCCAACTCTCAATGATATGTCCCCAGCCCCTCCAGGAATGTCCCCCAGATCCTTTCTGGAATGCCATCAGCCCTCTATGGGATGTCCCCAACCCTCTATGGATGGTCCCGCAGCTTCCATGGGACAGACGCTCCTCGGGACGTCCCGTAGCCGCCGCCACGTGCGGCCGCTGCGCGCGGCGGGCGCTGCGCTGCGCGGCGTTGCGCGGCGTTGCGCGGCGCGGCGGGCGCTGCCAGGGCGGCGGTGAGTCACGCTGCCGCGCGCCGTGCATGGCGGCCCCGAGCTTTATAACGGCACGGGCGGCCGCGGCGCCCCGCTCCGCTGTGCCGCGCACGGCACCATGCGGAGCTTGCGCCGACCTCCGCAGCCCCTGTCGCTGCTGCTGTCGCTGCTGCTGTCGCTGCTGCTGCTGTTGGCCGCCGCGGGACACGGCGCAGTCATCACCGGGGTGAGCCCCGGCGCGGGGAGCGGCTGCGCGGCTTGGGACGGGACGGGGCGGCACGACTTGGGACGGGACAGTATGGGACCGGGCGACACGGCGAGGCACGGGAGAGGGAGCACGGTGTAGCACGGGGCGACATTGCATGGCACGGTGTGGGGACGGAGCGGCTTGAGACGGCACGGCATGGGACAGCGCGGCATGGGACGGGTCGGTATGGCACGGGGCAGAGCGGCGCAAAACGGCGCGGGACGGGATGGGGCGACACGGCGCGGCACGGGACAGCGCGGCACGGGACGGGACGGGGCGGTCGGTGCCCGGCCGGGACTGGGAGAGCTCCGGGAGCCCGAGGGGACCCTCCAGGGTGAGCGACGCCAGAACAAGGGGCTCTAGCAGCGTGACGGGTGGTGGCCACGCTGGGCTCTTCCCGGATGCATCCCGGTGTGTCCCGATCCCCCGGGCAAGACCAGCCCGGGAGACTCTCGCTTCCGCAGCCGTCCTGCTTGCAGGGCAGGCGCCGGGGCTGCTTGGGGCTTTTTGCTTCG